TAGGTACCCACAAATAAATGCGAAATAAAGTTTTGTGACACATACATGGACTCATTTTTCACGATGGATTTTCTACCCCTCATGTGATACTCATTTGTACCTAGTTTGACGAGGAGAACAATGTTTAGTGTGCTATATGATAGCTTTTACACATGCCCTATGAATATAAATGTGTATCATAATAACTCTACACATGCTTTATTTTAGCTGTCATTACAATGTGTTGACTTTCAAATTAAGGTGTAGAATCATGTTGCATCACATTTACTTTGAAGTTGATAATTTGATCTTAATCAGCTTTGATGATGTTTTTGCTATGTTTCTGTTATTGAAATGATTATTTCTATATATGTAACATGTAACAAATATTTTGGTGTTTTCAAAGATGTTTTTGGGTTGACCTTATATTTAGAATGTATAATTTCCTTATACTCAACAATGTGTAACCCCAAAATGCTCAATAGGCTTCCCAAAACGTAATCTATGTATTTTGACATGTGTTCATATTAGGTACTTTAATTGAATATCAAATATGGATTTAGATTTTGAATATTTAGAAAATATTATATTTAAAATTTAAAGATGTATTTAAGGTTGTTTACTTTACCTCTGTCTATTGATTATTTGGTTACAATGCTCGTATGTCTTGACAATTTAAACATTTTTAAATATTATAGACTTGAACATTTGTGCCCTTTTTTACATAACTTGATTTCTTAAATGATTTTTATTTTATTACATAACTGGATTTAGAATCCTAGTGAATGTCACTAAATTGTTGCAAAGAATATTCTTAAGTAATTACAAATGACTAGATGTGTATTCTTAGTTTAAAGATATTTAGATAGTGATATTAATGTAAAGTGTTACTTTTTAATGTGAGATCTGAATTAATCAAGACGATATATCGATCAGACTATGTCTTCATCATGAATAGAAACTTGGTTTACTATAGTTGCTCGTGACAAAACTTGATAGTGCAATCTACATAAGATTCTAAATACATCACCATTCTAGATGCATCTCTAGAAGCTATATGGATTGGAAAGTTCATTTTTGAACTCGACACAATACATTATATTGGATTCCATGTATTATATGAAGTATGATGATTATGCTATAAACTCTGGACTTCTTTACGCTAACATCTTATTTTGATTTGTAAATAATTTTAGTATCTGGTGTTATGAAAAATATTAAACCATAGATCGAACCATATTACTAAATCACCAATATATAAAATAAAATCATACTTTGTTCATTTATGAAATGTATCGTGTTGGATTTCAATGACATATTCGAACAGTGTGTGGTGGCCTTTCTCATGCCCTTATTTTCCCTTTAAGCAATCTTTGATGATTGTGGATCAAGATTATAATATAAAGTGTTTGTATTCCTTTTTATGTTAGGACCACCCTCCAAATACCCAAGTGCCCATTCAACTTTAATTATGTCATATTAATGACATTTAATTTGTTATTGAATAACAATATGTAACTCATAATCACAAATACTCATCTTAATGACTAATAAATTTAAATATTATACATTTATTATTAAATTTTTATAACAATCTCTCATTTGGGTGTTATATGTTGTATTACAAATTTCTTTAGATGTGTTAGCTATTAAATATTTAACTTTATTTTCTTTAAAACAATCTAATCTATCTTATACATAAGTACTAAACAAACACAACTTTTATCATATTTTTAAAATATGACTAAACCACCATGATCATTATACCTACACACTCAATGACATATATCAAATATGGATGAACATGACGTATAATGTAACCTTGCACATGTCAATTTTCAGTTGGTCCAACTATAATCTTTAGTAAGCCTAAACAAGCATTATACTCATGAAACAAAAGTATTGTAGGTTATTACATTCAATACAATGATATAAATACCATAACTCTATAATGAAAATTATTATAACACAATGTATGAATATAATACACATAATATATAAGTACTCCCACTAACTCATCTATTATCTATAAGAACGCTCGTACAAGTAGTATGCTCATGAAACACCTTGTGTATTGAATCTTTAGTTGGTGGTTATGCAAACATTAAATCAAAATTTGAGTGTTTTATAGTAAATGTCTATCTTGAACTCTCATTAACAACTAGAAACTTGATGTCGATAAATTACGACTTCTTTGAGCTACTATTATTGTTGGAGAAAAGTGGTTGAATTGTTGTCATGAGAAATCTCTAACGACTTGCCAGTTACATCTACCGTTCATAATTCCATGGTAAAATTTCTTATCGAGATTTCACAATTCGATGGCTTAAAATAAGCTATGCATTCCACTTCTAAAGCTATAAGTGTGTGTTTAGCATACTTCCTTGATATAGCTTCTCAAACCAACATATTATGATATAAAGTGTCATTTATATTGGATATATATATATATATATATATATATATATATATATATATATATATATATATAAGCTTGAGTTAGAGAAACCAAGGACCTCAAAAATCTCTTATTATTGATGAGTGAGCATATAACATTTTCTTTTTCTTTGATAACACATCACATGTTTTTCCTCCTTCTAGTATTGCATACATAAAATATTATATAGTTGCAATTTTTGGACAATAAATGATTGAGTATACATAAGACTCCAAACCACTAAAGCGTGTGATAACATCTACCAGAAATCACCAATGTACATGATACTTCACCCTTTATAATATATTGATTAAATTTTAGGTCTTTTAGTGAAAGGATGTGCCCAAAACCAAAAGTGACGACATCCTACAACAACTAGCTAGATGTGGCATTTCCTACCATATTGAACACAAAGTTGAGAAGAATGAAAACTAAGACAACCACTTGGAGTTTAAATAAATAATCGAGTAACTTTTTAAAACATGAAACTCTTGCAAAAAAATTATATTTTTGAAGAGAGTGAATGTACTTATCGTACATCTACATGCACCGACGAGAAATAAATTTCAACTAAATGTGTCTATACGTGATTACCTTGGAAAAATACATATTTAATTAGATATGAAGATTTATTTTATGGGTTGAAAAGACTCTAAACCATAAATACCTCTTTGTCCCTTAATTAGAGTCTTAAGTTTTCAGTATCCAATATAAAACACTCTAAATGAGTAACTTTTTAGAACACGGAACCCTTGCAACAATCTACATTTTTAAAGAGAGTGAATATAGTTATCGTACATCTACATGCACCAATGAGAGATAAATTTAACTAAACGCTTCTACACATGTTCTTATATGTCGGCGGTTACCTTGCAAAATATACATATTTAATTAGACATGAAGATGTATTTTATCGGTTAAAAAAACTCTGAGCCATAAATACCTTTTTGTCCCTAAACTCAGGTCTTAAGTTTTCAGTATCCAATATAAAACACTATAAACGAGTAACTTTTTAGAATGCGTAACCCTTGCAACACTCTACATTTTTAAAAAGTGAATCTACTTGTCGTGCATCTAATGCATATACCAGAAATACATTTTAACTAAACGGGTTTACACATATGTTGTGTTCTCAAGTTATTTTTAGGAGAGAAATGGGAAGAAAATGAGAGGATTGAGAGGGAAAATGGCGTTCTCTAGTTTTTTTTAAGAAGAAAAAAGCAAGTAAAGGGTTTGAGAGGAGGAGGGGGGGGGGTAGGGGGAATCTAGGCTATTTTACACACTAATTCATCGACCCAATTTTGGGTGGATTGGGAGGGAAATCAATTAATGAATTAGTTTTGTCCTTGTCATGTTCTTCATCTTCCTTCTCAAAGCACCTTCCTTCCCACTACAATTAACATGGTGAAGTTGATGAATGAATCAATCTTATCTTCTTCCCTCTTCTTCCACTGATAAACGAATCATTGTTCATCATCTTCATTCTCACAACATCTTTATCTTCACACCGTCCATGTTTATTATCTTCTTTCATTCCTCTGCTCCCTCTTCTTCCTCTGATGAAGCTAAAGCTGATGAACCCTAAAAATGGGTAAAAACGTCATTTGACGGTAAATTTTTTTCTCCATTCAACTTGAGAATGCATCTATCCTCTCTCTCTCTCTCTCTCTATATATATATATATATATATATATATATATATATATATATATATTCTTCCCTTTCTTTCCTCTCCCATCTTTAAAATTAAAACTCAAGAACACAATGATAGCGTTATTATATGCAATGATCACCTTGCAAAATATACATATTTAATTAGATATGAAAATGTATTTTATCGGTTGAAAAGACTATGAACCATAAATATCTTTGTCCCTTAATTCAAGTCTTACGTTTTAAGTATCCGGTATAAAACACTATAAACCACAATTGCATGCTCAATCATAATTTTGGGAGGAACTAAATATCCTCTTACTTTTCTTCCTATTTATTTTCCTATTCATTTGAAATGATAGCAAGTCTATAAAATATAATTAATATTATTCAAATATACACTTGTCACCATTTCATATTGATAGAAATATATATAGAAAGAAAATGTAGGAGGATAAATATGTCTCTAATTTTAGTCATCAAATGATAACCTTCTCAATTACCTGATTTAATTATACGTGTTTGTTTAATTTAAGGTGTTATTGCCAGATATAATAATGATTTTTTAAGGTTTTCTTCTAAAGAAAGTGTAAACCAATAATTTCATATCATTGTTATACAATTTCCCAAATCTTGAGAGATCATGTAATTTGATATACGTGATCGCATTAAGATTATATATGACAGAGATTTAGATTTGACCGAAAAATAAAGTCTTAAAGCATATTGTTCATGTTGTACCAAATTCATAAATGTGCATTTATAAAATAAAACAAATTAAATAATATATTTTTAATTATTAGAATGAAAAACAATTAAATGTAAAATAAAGTCCGAAAATTTAGCCAGACTATAAATGCCATACCTAATTGCAGTTCTTTTCCTTTGTAATAATCTATCAGTTGATAAGACATTGTGCTTATCAAAGCCTATGATAATCATATGCTGTTATAATATCCCTCATTTCCAACCTTATTATCTCGTAACTTTCACTACTATTTATACCGTCTCGTGGTTCTTCTCTTCGCACCTCTCTCGCTCAAACTCCCCACTTTCTCTCTCTCTACAAATCTCTCTCGAAAGAGGAGAGAGAAAATAGTATTACTGAAACCCTCCGATCTGTTTTCGAAATATCTCATCATCCAATTTCAAAGGTAACGGATGTTTTGATTTCCTGATTTCCACATAGAATTAGACATGTTTACTTGTTATACATATGGATTTTTGTTGTATTTATGCATGATTATACATCGATTTTGCAGATAAGTATAGGCGTTTTTGCGTTTATATGTGCGTCTATGTTTTGGAAATTTAGGTTTCTCGTTGAATGAACCAAATGAAACAGTATTCTTGCTATGAATTCGTTAGCTGGATTTTTTGGGAATGAATGTTAAACTGTCGGTTATTTATTTTTGAGAATTTAGAGGTTGTTATTGTTGAATATGAGTAATTTATTTTTTAATTTCTGATTTAATTGCTTGCAGTTTTGGGGAAAAAGGGAAAGTTATGTCGTCTCTCAGCAGAGAGCTTGTGTTTTTAATACTTCAATTTCTAGATGAAGAGAAATTTAAAGAAACCGTTCACAGGTAGGGTTTAATAAATTGTGTATCTGTCTGATACTTTTGTTGTTTTGAGTTTATACGTAAACGACGCATTATTTAATTTTGGTTCTGTTGTGGAGGTTGGAGCACGAGTCTGGATTCTTCTTCAATATGCGCTACTTTGAGGAAATGGTGACAAATGGTGAATGGGATGAGGTGGAAAAATACCTCTCTGGATTTACAAAGGTTGATGATAACAGATACTCAATGAAGATCTTCTTTGAAATACAAAAGCAGAAATACCTAGAAGCTCTAGATAAGTATGTTTAAATGCACTTTAATAATGCCACCATTGATGACCGACTGTGATAAATTATGAATGCGATTTCAATTTACAGGAAGGATCGTTCTAAAGCTGTTGAAATTCTAGTCAAGGACTTGAAAGTTTTCTCAGCCTTTAATGAAGACCTTTTTAAAGAAATAACACAACTTTTGACTCTAGAGAACTTCAGGTGAGGGAAGATAGTCATGACAAGTTTCTCATTTATGACATTAATTGTCTATACTTACCCAAATTTTGTTGATCATTAAATATTGATGTAACACGTGTTCAGAGACAACGAACAATTATCCAAATATGGAGACACAAAGTCCGCGAGGGGTATAATGTTGGGTGAGCTTAAAAAGTTGATTGAAGCAAATCCCCTTTTTCGTGAAAAGTTAACTTTTCCAAGTCTAAAGAATTCAAGACTTAGGACACTCATCAATCAGAGGTTTGTATCTTGTTGATATTATACTAGGGGCAATTTCGTAATTACACTTGTTCAACTTTCGTACATGCTTTTAAATTTTAACCGTTTTTCACGTGTTGTAGTTTAAACTGGCAACATCAGCTATGCAAAAACCCGAAGCCGAATCCAGATATAAAAACTCTTTTTATTGATCATTCTTGTGGTCAATCACAGCCAAATGGTGCAAGAGCCCCATCCCCTGTTACCAATCCATTAATGACCAATGTACCAAAGCCTGCAGGGTTTCCACCTTTGGGTGCTCATGGTGTAAGTGAAAAAAGAACCTGATTTTCTTTTATGTTTAGTTGGTTTAAACACCAAAAATCATGGATAACACATCTTAATTTTGACAATTTTGTTCTTTTTTCAAGCCTTTTCAGGCTGCACCACCACCTATGGCAACTTCTATGACTGGTTGGATGACAAATCCAGCTGGCGTGCCTCATCCTTCAGCTTCAGCTGGCCCTATTGGTTTTGCTCCACCTAATAATGCTGGTATGTAATTTGATCATGACTCATGATCATTTATTGTAACTTTTGTTCATAATTGTTAATTTGGTTGTTTATTTGCATCCCTTTTTTGTTCCACATGGAAGCTATGTTAAAGCGACCCAGGACTCCTCCTGCCAACAATCCAGCTGTAGACTATCAAACTGCTGACTCTGAACATGCATTCAAGAGAACAAGAGCATTTGGCATATCTGATGAAGTATGAACATGTAAATTTGACATTTTTAAAGACTGATTGATGGTGGATAGTAAATGCTAACATATCTTTGATCTTAGCACAGGTTAATCATATGCATGGAAATATCTTACCCATTGCTTATGGTGGTCAAAGTCATGGTCAAAGCTCAAGCTCCTATTCATCTGATGATCTACCTAAAGCTGTGGTGATGAACTTAAATCAGGGGTCAATGGTTATGAGTATGGATTTTCATCCTGTACAGCAAATTCTGCTTCTTGGTTAGTTTTATATACTCAAGAAATCTAACCTCTGTTGTTGGTGGTTTATATTATGTTGACTTTTTTGTTCTATTTTGACCAAATACAAAGTTGGAACAATCTCTGGAGAAATTATGATATGGGACTTAGGTAGCAGGGAGAAGCTTGTTCAGAAGGATTTCAAGGTTTGGGATCTTGGTGTTTGTTCAATGCCCCTTCAGGTAAATAATTTTGAAAACCCTTTTTGCTTGACTATTGACTGTTGACTCTAGTTTACACTTTACACTTTGCATATGTATTAGGCATCTTTGACCAATGAGAATACTGCATCAGTCAATCGTGTAACTTGGAGCCCTGATGGAGCCCTTTTTGGTAAACTAAAAGTTATTACTATTTTTGAAAAACACATAATACCATGCACTCCCTCCTTTCCACTTTAGGTATCCCTTTTTGCCATTTGGTTTTTAAACTAACAACCCTTTTAATTTCATAATTTGGAAATGTTTGAATTTTTCTATTTTAAGGGCTACTTTAATCTTGCAATTAAAAGTCAAACAACAAAAGGGGTATTTAAAGGAGATCGGATGAGTGTCGCTTTAATGTAGCCACATTATCATTATGAAATTTCTTATAGGTGTTGCATACTCGAGGAATATTGTACAGATATATTCTTATCATGGTGGTGATGATCTACGAAACCACTTGGAGGTTTGTTAATTCTTTGTTGTTGTTTTTTTTTTTTTTTTTTTTAGGTGATGATAATAACAGTTTTTTATGTTTTGTGTTTCTGATTCATGTCATCATCAATTCATCACAAGTTTATTGGATTTGGTTATACAGATTGAGGCTCATGGTGGCAATGTTAATGATCTTGCTTTCTCTTATCCAAACAAGCAACTTTGTATTGTAAGTTGTGGAGATGACAGGTTGATAAAGGTTTGTATCTTTAAGATTACTTTTACTTACTATTGGAATTCAATTCCTCCTTAATAAAAATTACTCAAATACCCATTTTTGAACTCGCTGCATATAAAGATGAAGTTTTTTACAGGTATGGGATGCAGTAACAGGGGCTAAACAGTATACATTTGAGGGTCATGAAGCACCTGTATATTCTGTATGTCCACATTTTAAGGAAAACATTCAGGTATAACCAATTCTTTCAAATTTTTAACATCTCAAATATTGCAAAAGTTGTTCCACTTTTAACCTTATTTTCTATTTGTACCAGTTTATTTTCTCAACAGCAACGGATGGCAACATAAAGGCATGGCTGTATGACAATATTGGTTCAAGAGTGGACTATGATGCGCCAGGTCATTCATCCACCAGAATGGGATACAGTTGTGATGGGACAAGGCTATTTTCATGTGGGACAAATAAAGAAGGGGAATCTTTTATTGTGGAATGGAATGAAAGTGAAGGTGCTGTAAAACGTACATATAATGGGCTTGGTAAACGAGCTATGGGATTTGTGCAGTTTGATACTACAAAAAACCGATTTATTGCTGCTGGTGATGAGGGTGTGGTTAAGTTTTGGGATATGGATAATGTTAACTTGTTGACAACAATTGATGCCGAGGGTGGTTTATCGGTAATCATCCCGTGTTTTTGTCTCTTGAAATTCGCCAGAATTGGAATTGGAGATTCCATTCCAAATGGATGGAATTCAATTCCATCAGATTCTTTCAAACACACAACAGATTACAATTCCTTCAAATTCCAATTCCTTACAAAAACATTAATAATGGCTCATAACTTACCTGCAGGCTTCTCCTTTTATACGGTTTAACAAGGAAGGAATTCTATTAGCTGTTTCAACAAGTGAGAATGGAATCAAAATTCTAGCAAATCAAGATGGGGTTAGATTACTAAGAACAATGGAGAATCGTTCTTTCGATGCCTCCAGAGTCACATCCGCATCTTCCATGAAGGTAAACAGATTCTTACACCAGATTCTAGTTCAAATTCTACTCTTTTCCTCTTTTGCCCTTGGTTCTACAATGCCATATATATATTACAGGGACTGACTGCAATGATGCCAACATTTGGTGGTGCTAATGCACCTGGTGGACCAAGCATGATGGAAAGAGTTCCCCCAATGCCCTCCATGGTCATGATGGTGAGTGTTTTTACTTTTTACTTTTTCACTGTGTTGTGATTTTATATATAAATATTTTTGTTAATGATGTTAAATGTTTAATGTGTATAGAGTGGCGAGAGTCGGAATCTGGTAGATAGGCAAAGAATTGGAGATGAGGCCATGGAAAAATCTAGAAATTTGAAAGTGACAGAAATCTCTGAACCATCACAGTGTCGATCCTCAAGGCTTCCAGATGATACATCTTCTGCAATGCGGGTATTGTTATTCAAGAAATAGCAACCTACTTTCATTTATTTGTAAATTATTATTACAGCATCCTACTACTTTCATTTCTTTCGGTTTCATACATTATTGTAATTTCAAAATTAAGTTGAAAAAACTACCCAATTATAGCATTACACTTTGAATTGTTTTCTTAATAGGACATTATGCTTTGAAAAATCTATCCAGTTTTAGCAGTGACAACTGGTTTGTATTTGGGTGATATTGCTATAATTGGGTAGATTTTTTGAAGTAGGAGAGCTATAATAAATAAATGAACAGAAGTATGTTGCTATTTCAGTGAATTTACTAAACTCAAGTGACTTTCTCCCCTCATTTTTTTTTTCTCTGTGTGTGCATTATAGGTTACAAGATTGATATACACTAATTCAGGAGTTGCGGTCTTAGCTCTAGCAGCAAATGCTGTCCATAAATTATGGAAATGGCAGAGAAATGACCGTAATTCAACTGGGAAGGTACTTGCTAAGTTTCTTTTCATTGGATAAGAAAGAGTAAATGACCATTTTACCCTTGTCAACATATCCAACCTATTTAATCCTCCTCTTGTGTTTTGGTGGTTGCATGTTTTGTTTTAGGCAACTGCTAGTGTACTACCTCAATTATGGCAACCAGTGAGTGGTATATTGATGACAAATGATATCAGTGAAACAAACCCTGAAGATGCCACTGCATGCTTTGCATTATCAAAGAATGACTCCTATGTTATGTCTGCTTCTGGTGGAAAGATTTCTTTGTTCAATATGATGACCTTCAAGGTAACAACTCAAATACACTTCTCAATAAAAGCTGTTTATGTTATAATACCATATACAGAAAAACACAACATGCTTCCACCGTTTTATGAACTATTATCTCTAGCAGTTTAGCAACTAAACCATTACATTTTTATGATCATTATTTAATTGCTAAATTGATATGATGATTAATGATGAAGGTACATTCAGCTTCTTTTTTTTTTTTTCATTTTAATCTCTGACACATCTGGTAAAATGCAGACTATGACTACATTCATGCCCCCTCCACCCGCAGCAACCTTTCTGGCATTCCATCCACAAGATAACAATATTATTGCCATAGGCATGGAGGACTCTTCAATCCAAATATACAATGTCCGAATTGATGAGGTTGTTTTTTCTTTTACTGAAACCTAAATCTTGTTTAGGGTCTGCTTTTTAAACAAAGTAATATTAAAAAAAAAATTAATTGTTTATTTGAGCAGGTGAAAACCAAACTTAAAGGCCATCATAAAAGAATAACAGGCCTAGCCTTCTCTAATGTCCTTAATGTGTTGATATCTTCTGGTGCTGATTCTCAGGTATGTGAAACTGGAGGCTTTATAAATGTTTATGAATTTACAAAAAAAAAAAAAAAAATTATAATGTTGTATTTATATTTTATAGTTGTGTGTGTGGAGCACGGACGGATGGGAGAAGCAAATAAGCAAACAATTACAAATTCCAGGAGGGAGAGTCCCTGCTGCCCATGCTGATACACGTGTCCAGTTCCACCAAGATCAAACTCACTTGCTAGTTGTTCATGAATCCCAGATTGCCATTTTTGAAGCACCTAAACTAGATTGCCTAAAACAGGTCTGTACTCATAATACCTACCAATCTACTTACATTTCTTCCAATGGTTGAACTTGAATTACATTGTCTTTTTTTTGTTACAAATAGTGGGGCCCACGTGAGGCAAGTGGTGCAATCACACATGCTACCTACTCATGCGATAGTCAATCAATATATGTAACTTTTGAAGATGGAAGCATCGATATTTTAACAGCATCAACACTCAGATTACGTTGTCGCATCAGTTCCACCGCTTACCTCCCTACAAATCCAAAGTCAGTAATACCAACCTACTTTCCTTCATTTCTCCCTATTTCTTGCATTGAGGAGACTTTCTAAATTTTAATAAATAAATGTTTTTTCAGTTCAAGGGTGTATCCACTTGTTATTGCTGCACATCCATCTGAACCCAACCAGTTTGCTTTGGGACTTACTGATGGCGGTGTATGTATAATCGAGCCGCTTGAGTCCGAAGGGAAATGGGGCGGATCGCCGGCGGTTGAAGGTGGTGCGGGGCCAAGTGCTGCTGCTGGTGGAGGTGGTGGTGCGAATACAACTAACTGATGGAATCAAACTCAGAGGTAGGGCCGAAGGGTGTTTCTGACTTTTTTTTTTTTTTTTATTTGAGCAAGATGAAAGGTTTAGAGGTAGGTGATGGTTATTCCGGAAAGATAGTGTTATAGAGTTTATAGAATAGACACAATATCAACATCTGTCTGTAGTCAGAGATGTTGGTATTTTATTACCTTTAGAATTAGTAGTAGGAAGAGTTTCGTTTGTAAAGTTTTAACAACTACAAGGGCTGGTTTTGGGCAAATCCCATTCTCATGCTCTCTTCCGTCTTCTCTTTTTAATCGTCAGTCTTTACATTTTCATCTCAATTTTCCCGTGGTTTATATTACACTTGACTTTAAGGTGAAATATGAATGGAGAAGAATAAGAGACAATATCACTTTGGCGACATCATTAATCATAATAACATCCATAATGGTGAGTTGAATGAGATGACAAGTCTATTTCTCATTTAATGGATTAAACTCTATTGAGATGTCCCATTGACATTAAATGGATTTAGAGTTCAATGGCTATTGAACTTTTCAATGGAAAAAGGAAGTTTTTAACTCTAGAGTTCAATGCATTGTGGATGTCCTAAGGAAAAAATATGATGTATTATTAAGAGATAAAAAGTACATATATTTTAGGTAATCAAGTCAAATTAACTAATAAAAATCAAATCATATTTTGTATTTTATTCAACACATTCAAATTAAATCAAATTTTTAGAATGCAATTTCATTCAACACGTTCAAATTTATTTTCTAGTTCATTCTCATATAACATTCCACATGAGGTACAACATCTTTGCAGCTATTGTACAAGTTACTAAAACGTACATTTCAAGTGGATAAATTAATTTATTAAGTGGAAATATCACTCCCCTTAAATAGTACACCTGCATATATTAGACAATAACATATTATTCCTTAAGAAAAATATATTGCAATATAGTCAAGAATATATACTATAAAAATAAGAAGCATTCTCATAAAACAACCAGTTACATAACATAAAACAATAATATATACAACATGTTGAAGAATATACACAACCTTTTATACTATATTCTTTAAGAATATATTTGTAATATATACTACATTCTCTGTATAATACAACATTCTTGAAGAATTTACAAAAAAGTTATAATATATTTAAGAATTGGTTTGTCAGGACAAACTGAAATATGAAAACCATACATTCTTCTCCATTGATCATCGTTTCTTATCATCTTTGTTCTCGACCAACCAACACTTCTTGCACCATTCTTGAACCATCAGTTCTTTTTTTTTTTCAACCTTTCACTATTAAAGAATATGTTGGTTTTAGTCATTCCTTCTTGAAGAATACATTTATTATACACTGGTTTCAGTCTTTCATTCTTAAAGAATACAAAAACCAATGTTCATCATCAACCAGCGAACATAACTTGCAAATCAAATTTCAAAAAAAGAAGGGCCTGCAAAAAAGTAAAGACATTAGAAAAAACAAAATTGATACAACAAACCAGGTTGTATGTTCTTCTATGCTATCCCCTTTTTGCAGTCTAGGAATTTGAGAGACAAAAAGAAAGAAAATAGTAATACAATGGTTGCATGTCGATGAAGATGGAAATGGTTTTAGTGGTTGAATGTGTTGGTATTGTCAATCTGAGATGATGGCCGTTTGGAGAAGAAGATGTCAATCGGCCACACCATTAGGTTGCCGTGTTCTAGGAGGAGTCAACTGTGAAACATTTTTATAGTTCCTTATATGGTCGCTGAATTCTTGATTAAGAAAGTCTCAACTCCTACCGGATTGGACGATCATGATCCTTTTTCCTTTGTTGATTCTCTATCTTCAGAGGTTTCAGACTTATGTTTAATTAAATAAACATACCCATATCTACTGAAGTAATTAGTAAATGTAACACAATATCTCTCACCATGTACTGTGGTTGATTTGAACGGTCCACATACATCGGTGCGTATAAAGTCAAAAGATAATATTTTAATTAATATATTTTATTCATAATTTGGCTTAAGATATACTTTTGTTCATAATTTGAATATTATAATTGTTTAAGTTATATACTAATCTACATTGTGATAATATTTTAATTCATATATTGTATTCGGTTAGGATTTTATAATTTTTTAGAACAAAAACGTTTAACGTCTTCAGATTTTATAGTTGAATCTCTAATTTATCATCATGAAACCAATATTTTTAGTTTCGCTTAATTTTTTTTTAAAAAATCTTTTAATACTGTAATTGTTAATAATGTTTGCATTATATATAAACAAAAGAAGGTTTGTTGCTTTTACGGAAGAGTTGCTACAATTTTACATTCACGATCCAAAAAGCAAAAATATCAACTTTCATGAAAAATCTGTGTCGAGACTGAAAAATCTCTAAATTTCTCTTCATGATTTAGTATATCAGCCCATGAATCAAGAACACTTGCAAAAACAAAGTTTCTTTATAAAGGGTTTCATAATTAGCTCTAAAACCTAACATTCCTGATTCCCTAAGCACACTAAGATCCTTGAACATATTAATTTAAATGTCACTAAATATCAAAACTTATCTTTGTAAAATAATCATATATATATATATATATATATATATATATATATATATATATATATATATATATATTAGGGCTGTCAAATCGGGCAGTCGTGTCGTGCTTTTGTCTGACACGACACCACACGACAAGGTTTTGTATAACACGAACACGACACGACACGATGTCGTGTTTTTTTTCATTAACACGAAAACGAACCAATTAAAACACAACAACACGACATGACACGACAAAGATAATATTACATAACTATTAGTGTATTTCGTTCATACTTAAAGATATATAACACGACAAAAACGACAAACACGAAAAACACGACAACCACATGCTTAATCGTGTCAATTTCGTGTCGATTTATGAACACGAACACGACACGACACGACATCGTGTTTTTTAATCATGACACGAAAACGACACGAACACGAATTCGAATTTTGATTTCGTCCCGATTTCGTTTCGTTTCGTGTATTTTTGTCGTGTCGTGTCATAATGTGTCGTTAAAACACCACCCCAAACCTTGTTTTATGTGTTAGGCTCGGTTAAAATTGATGAAAAATTTTCATTCATGTTCATTAACATGCAGTTTGTATCATCCAAAGAGGTTTTTTTTAGCATCATCGTATCTTATTTTTTAGGCTCAATTAAAATTAATATATTTAGCGTCAAATTTGTTCGCTCAATGTGTAAGCGCATCCCGTCGAGTACACACTGATTTATGAAGCTATTATATCGTCAAATGTTGATAAGGGTTCAATTATAATGTATCAGTAACTTGTACAACTTATAATAATAGTATATATTATACCTTTAACTTTTCAATCATTTTATTATTGAAACCTTATCACCAAATGTTGAAAATGGTTTCATTATAACGTTCAATTATCATGTTGATAAGGGTTCCATTATATTGTTGAGTCATCATGTCAATATATATGTGCCAATCAATTTAATAAACGAAATGTAATATTACAATTTTATATCTCCAGTTTAAGTTATAATTTTAAAAAATACCCAAGTTTTTTTAGTTTATATCTTAAGCCCTCAAAACTTTTATTAATTTTGAAAACTATCAAATAGAAACTTATTATTTAATCATAAAATTTGTATAATCAGTCTCATGAATACATTTACAAGAAAGACTAATAATGAATATTATTGAATATTGTTAAATTTAATAATAAATGTTACTTTGTTAAATAAAAAATATAAACTATGAAACATTAACAAAAATAGAAGGGATAAAAATGAAAATTTGGTTTCAATTTCGATATTTGTTATTTGTTAAATTGAAAGCGACTTGCAATGTCAATTTTAAAGTAACCGTCCTTAAAAGCAAACGTACGATATTTGTTATAAATATATATTTTATTAAATAGCAAGTTGGCAAAAATGGATATGTAAAACATATTGTGAGGTATTTGTACTTGTTTTTTTTTTTTTTTTTTATTGTTTTTTATTAAATGTATGTTTTTCTATGTGTTATGTTTAAAGGGATGATATGTATCCAATGGAGACAAATGAAGTGGATGAAAATAATAGCTTGAATGAAAGTAATTGTTTTGTCGATGACACATCGCCATTCGAAATGGATATTCATCCAATGGACACAAATGAAGTAGATGAAAATGAAAGTTTGAATGAAAGTAAATATTTCCTCGACAACACATAGCCATTCGAAACGGATCATGTATAAATTCATTAGTATATTGTTACAGCAATGTTATCGTTGAGTGGATTTGTTAGTTACTGATAATAATATAACCTCTAGGTGTTTAATTCTCATCAAGAATTGATGGATTGGGTGCAAAATGTAGCAAATACTTTAGGTTATGTCATCGTCATAAAAAATTCTACACGTAACTTTAATGTTGTATTTCAATGTGACCGTGGAGGTGCATACAAAAGTACATAAATCTCCAAAAAAATATGGACAAAAAATTGATTGTTCATTTATGCTACATGGTAGATATTCGTCAGTAGATAATTCTTGGAAGATAAAAATGATATGTGAACTTTATAACCATGAGTCGTCATTCTATTTGAAATGTCATCCTTATCCATGACAACTAACTGAAAATGAATGTCAAATAGTGGAAGATTTGTTGAAAAAAAAAATGTCAAACCAAAAGATATATTATCTAAAAAACATAAATCCGAAAAATGTATCTACTCTCAAAACTACAATGCAGACGAAAAACATCGACGTACAGAGAAAGAATGTAAAACTCAAATGCAAGGTGCTATGAAATTTCTAGATCAAAATGGATATGTTTATTATAGTCGTGAAAATGTTTTGACATACGAGTTTGAAGATTTATTCTTTGCTCATCAAAGGTCATTAGAAATATGGCGTGCATTTCCAAATGTCTTGTTAATGGATGCAACATATAAGACAAACAAGTACCGGATGCCTTTATCGGAGATTGTTGGTGTAACTCCAACAAATATGACATTTTCCATTGTGTTTGTGTACATGCATGAAGAAAAAAAGTCCAACTATGTTTGGGCTTTAGACTGTCTAAAATCGATAATGGAATGATGTACTACGAAATACCACATTTAAAACCACCGTGTCGTTTCGTTTCAATTTATGCACTTGATATCATTTTCAAAGAATATGAATGGGCCAAAGAGTTCGGATTTGTTAATGAAAACTGTGGATGTCAAGTACATACAAGTTATGGGATGCCATGTGCGCATGAACAAGCTATCTTTGTTACAAAAGCTCATTGTATACCGCTTCACTCAGTCGATAAATTTTGGAAAAAAACTTGATTTTTTAGAATGAAAATCGTTAGAAGATGATGATTTGGGTTGTGATGTTGAGGTAAATATGTTTAATGCTCATTACGAAAAAGTGAAAAACAATCAAGACCTGTTAAGTTAATTTTAGCAATGAAGTTACTAAACTTAATCACGCCGTCAACAACTTTAGTTTGTGAACTTGCTACTCACAAAACTACTCGTGGGCGCCCCTCCTTAAAGAAGAAACTTTTCAGGAAAACTCATATCGATTTAAACCAGGACCCACCACCTCAAGATCCACCAACTCAAGATCAACCAACTCAAGCGCCATCAACTCAATATCCTTCTAGACGTAGCCTTTCTACTTATACACCTGATTATATTATATGAGGTCTAATTTGTTTGATCTAAACCAGGAACCGGATAGGCGCAACACGTACTCGTTTCGAGAAACTCCAATGTTCAACTCAACCTTTAATCATGAACAATAAATGCATAACTCATATTTCAACCAAGAACAAGTAATGTATAATTCAGATCCACTTATAAATGAATTTCCAAATGAATTTCATCCATATGTCACAAACATACATGGGAGATGGAAATTGTGGATTTCGTGCAATAGTTCTGTGTCTCGGCTATAGTGAAGATAATTGGCGTCAAATTCGTTAGATTTACAAAATGAGTTGTTAGCGCACCCAGCTGAGTATGCACAAATTTTTTATTACGGTTTAAACACCATAAATCACTCACTGGATTTCAATGGATCACGTTTCGCACCAAAAGATTGTTGGTTGATTATGTCGGTCACTAGCTTTCTCATTGCTAACAAGTACGGTGTAATAGTTCATTTTCTAAGCAAAGATAGGTTGCCAACATATTTTCCACTTTGGCTTGGTACCCAAGACATCTCAACTCATAGAGTTGTTGGTATTGTTTTTGTTGGAGGTAATCACTATGTGAATGTTGATTTACAAGGAGCATATTTAATGCCTACTATTTTGCCACTTTTGCATTACAACGGATCATCATCACAGTCAGGATGGAAAGCTCTTTATGCTGCTCAACTAAATTCCTACATTTCTCCATTTGCAACACACAATAATTCTAATAATTCTACAGTTATAATATCTCATAATTAATAAAATCAAGTTTATGTTTTATTATTTATAGTTATTTAGATCTCTATAAAAAATTGTGTTATATATATATATATATATATATATATATACTAAAGTTTTAAAAAGTATAAGATTTGATTTGAAAATCAAATATAAATATAATGATATTTAATGTAAATTGAAAAGTACTGTTTCATGAATTTGGATAAATTTAATATAATCTATTAGTTTATGAGACAAATTTAATAATATATTAAAAGTGGTCGTAAATGACATATATCATTCAATCAACTCATTCGGTATTTGGAATTGAATTTGTGGCTTTAAAATTACCCAAGAAAAGGAGCAAGTGTTGTGTCAATCAAGCCTTTATCAACACAAAAAAAGAGAGGATGAGTAACACGGTACTTAAAGGGATACAATTAGCAATTGTCTTAATCAAACACCTACCATATTAATTATTGATTAGCAACATTTGTGGATCAAAATGATTGCATTTTTTAATATAAAACAAAAGGCATTATTATTTTGACATTATAATCTAAAAGATTTTTTAATAAATTGAGATCATAAAAGTATGCTGACTAGGTTCAACATAAATATCTAATATAATAGATTATATAGACAAATAATGAAAATTCAATGAAAAAGTTGTTATTTGTTGAAAATCTTGCCATACAGTCGTTATCTTTATCAAAAAGTTAGTTATCTTTTTAACAACCTAAATAACAGAAAATCATCTTCTTTTTTGGAGAGAGAAAGTATGAGGAAAAAGGGGTCATAATCAAACCAAATAGCTACCTAAATGTCACTTTTATACTTTCTAGTCAAAGTCAAACCATACATCCTTAAAAAACAAAAACAAAAAAGAAAAAGAAAAGAAAGAGCAAGCAATTAACAATACAGTCAACATTCTACAACACCATTGGCATTTATTCTGTCTCTTTCTCTCTTTTACCCTTTTATTTCCAACTTTTTTATTATATACACTCAAAACTCCAGAAATAAAAAATGGTCTAATTACGTTTTCGCCCTCCTCCTCTTCTTCTAGAATTATTATTATTAGTCTTGGGGCTTGACTGATTTGGTTGAACAGGCAAAACTGTTCCCCCTTTAATCTCCTCTCTATCACTTGATGTTGCCAGTGTTCTTTGAGCTTCTATATAAATTTTCAAGTCTCTTATCTGTTCCTCAAGATCAACTATTTTCTCTTCCTTCAATTTCAATGATGCAATTTCCCTAAAATCATCACAAATACAGGTATAAGTATAAATACCAGATATAGATACAGATATAGATATAGATACAGGTAAGAACCTGTCTTGGACTTCCTTGCATTTTCTCTTGAGATTTTCTTGCTCTTTTGCAAGATCTTCATTAACATGTGAAACAGATTTTGTCTCTTTAGCAACTTGTTCAAGTTTATGTTGAATTTCCTGTGTCTTTTCAGCTTCAGCTTTTTGTATCGCTTCACCTATCAATATCTCCTTTCGACTTTTTGCCTCAGCAAGCAACGTTTCATAATGCTGGAAAAAAAATATATTATATATTCATTACTTCATAATTTATATTTTATACAAAAAAAAGACTTACTTGTCGTTGGGTCTCCATCTGGGTTGCAAGAAGAAAGTTGTATTCATCTACAATCTGTTTTTTTTTTTTTTTTAAATAAAGAACAAATTAAATGAGAAAAATATCTAGCAACTTTATAAAAAAAATATATATATATATATATATATATATATATATATATATATATATATATATATATAAAGTTACCGCATCAACTTTGGTGCTAAAAAGTGCTCCATCAACTTCATCATCTTCTTTATCACCACATTCCCCTTCAAGTGATTCACATTGATGATTTGTTGCAATTGATTTGCTACCAATTTTTGATTGATTTAATCGGTGAACATATTTATCACCAACATAATCCCAAATCTGCTGTGTTTCCAGTTCAAGTGAATAGCTATGTTGAGCATGACGAAAATGCTCAATAGCATGTCCTTTTTCATACCTTCACACATTAATACATATTAGGGCTAAATGCAAGAAATACCAATGTCAACATTGTACTTCCAATTTGGTTCTTATTAGGACATAATATTTTGAAAACTTATGCTTTGTATTTGGATAAAATTGCTATAATTGGGAAGGTTTTACAAAGTGTAATGCTCTAATAACAGGAGATTAGGAGTAATATGTTACCTTCCACATCCTACAAAACTACATATCAGACAAACCCATGGATTGCTAGATGTTCCACAAACTGCACAAGTTGGTTTTCCATCCTGTTGTTGACAAAGTCTACAGACCTAACACCAAACACAATTTTTAACTTTTTATTAATTTCATTAACCAGATGAAGAGGAGAAAAGCCAATAAAAGTACATAGGAGGCATGCTTTTCTATAATCTAATCATTCTTGCAAAGTTTGTTATATATCTTCTTCAGATCAAGACTCTTTAGAGTTACCATTAGAGCTGAAGATACTCAAAATCTATAATCTAATAAGAGTATTTCACATTCCAAAGATTAATTCATGTGGAGGAGATTGTGTGAAAATGAACTAGTTAGATGCCAACATATCAATATTTCTAAGTTCTAACATTTGCACCCGAAGAATTGTGTGAAATATCAATAAATAAAAAGAATCACAAGGGGCATAATTATAATGGAACCAACCTGGCAAGACCAGAAGGGCCACTTTGTAATGCAAGAACATTGAAAGGAATGGTCGCATACTGTAATCTTTATTGCACTTGTGTCATGATCCAATCTCTCTACCATTTGAAGATTAATTGAAATATATCATCAACAATTCCCATGTGCACACACAAAGATACAGGTATAATAAAATCTGTGACGATTTAACAGCAGCTTACCTAAGCAAACAGGACAAGTAGGCAATTCTGTATACCCTGGCTGAGGGATGCTAGCGATCTCTGATGAATCTGTGTATTCCACTAATTGAGCGAAGTAGACATGGCAAACCTCAGTCTGAAAGTTAAACGCAACGAAAATGATCCAAAATCAATCAATTAGAAGTGCATCTATGGATATGTATAGACTATATACATATGGCAAGTCAACGTGATGATTTAACACACAAATCACTCGAACGTACTTCAAATCAAATAATCTCTCAAATGAGAGAAAACAAGATCAAGAATACCTCAGAAGGACCAAACCGCTTTCCGTTGTAACTACAACAGAATCCATCAGCAGCCGCTTGATTCACCAGCTTAATAAGCACGCTATACCGTTCTTCCACCGCATCATTTCTTCAAACATCGCAAAACGCACACGAAATTCAATCCACAACTGAAAACAAAAAACAAATTACAAGAAAAATATCCGGATGTAATCGAGGCAATACCTGATGAAACAGAGATCGGTGAAGTACTCGACGTGAGAGCCACAGAAAGTGATGAACTCTTCAGGCGAAAGGTAGTTAGGTACAGCAACGATAAACGCAAGTGTGGTGCGTGTAGTGACGTTGAACAACGTCATAGTGGGGGAGGAGCTGAAGGTTGGTAGATTGCGGAAGAGATGGACTACACCTTTGAGTTCAGTAGGACTGAATAAGTTTTTCTTAGACTTAGGGTTTGAACCTCCGGCGACGGCGGATTTGGTGCCGGATGTAGCGGCACCACCGCCGAACTGCGTCGCAAACGGCGGTTGGGAGGTATCAACTGTGTGAATTCGGAGAGCGAACATTCTATTCTTCCTCTAACAAAATCGATGGGTCTGTTGGCGGGCAAACCGGGAGAAGAAATGGGCTTAACGGAAAATCATCCACCATTGGCTTTTTATATAAGAGAAAACCAAAAAATAAAATAAAAATATATTTTTTATTTTTTTAACTTTTCTTTTCTTTGCATAAAAACATGTTAATTAAGAAGGTGGTTTTTTTCATTTTGTAAATTTTTTTCTGAGACGGTTATTTATGCATATTTTTTTCATTTCATCACTAATTTGAATAAAATATATATTTGTATTATAACTTTATTTGAATTTTAATAAACTCTCCATAAGTTTAAATATTTTTTATTACAAAAGAGTTATTATTATAGCTAATTAATTATAGAATAGAAGTAAAAGTGTAAAACTGTAACATTACCTTACATATTTTTCTTTTCCATTTTCTGTTTTACATGAGTATATTTTATTCCAATCATTTTGTTATTAAACCATACCCTTTAATTACTATTTGACAAATAGGACATCCGAATTCAATTCATTAAGTAAGCTAACTTAAAAGGGACGACATGTTTCATTTAATGATTTTCAATCATCAAATCGTAATTTTGTTGAATTCCAACTATTCAGATTTTTTTTCTTTATTTTGTTACATAACATTTTAAAAAATAAAGACTAAACTGCATAAATGGTCCCTGTGGTTTACTCAAAATTACAACTTTGGTCCAAAAATGTTTGGACTAGCACCAGAGATCCAAAACTTTCATTTTATTGTGTTTTTGGTCCAATTTATTATGTCTTTTTTCAAAATGACAGATTTGTCCCTATTAATATGATTTTTTTTCCTTATTTGCTTTTCTGATTTTCAGATTAAAAATAAAATAAAAATAAATCTACAGCTAATAACCCACCAAACCCCATCCCACCTCTCTCACTCTCCCTCCCCCCCTCTCTCTCTCCCTCACTTCTCTGGAAACCATCTCCATGTCAGTGCCCCTTCTCCGATCTCTGATCTCCGCTCCAGACCTCCGATTGACGGTACTAGCTACCGCTCCTTCTCTGATCCGGTAAGTCCTATTTTCTTTATCGGGTTACACCTCCTGGATCGATACAGGATTTTTGATTTCTGGAATCAATGAATCACATGGTTTTCTTCTTCTGTTTTGAATCTAAAGATCAATTCGTGTTTGATTTTTGGTTTGTTGTTAAACCTATTTTCTTTTTCTAGTTGAGTACACTGATGATTTTTTAATGAAATATATGAAGTACATTTTGGAATCGATGAAGCTGATAATTTTGAAAGCAGTTGGAAGGAGATGAAATTTGAGGCGGAATAGATAGATGTATAGAACCTCCAAGCCAGATTAAATATAATCTCAAATGGATTCATTTTCTCCATTCCGGTGAAGAAAATCGTGACTCCTAAAAATGAAGTCCAAAAAAGAGAGAGAAAAAAGGGGGGGGGGGAGAAAGACCATTTTTAGGTGAGGTGATGAAGAAGAACATTAGGTAAGGGAAGGTGGGTTTTCTTCTTGAGCATTGTTTATTATGTATGTGTATGTACGTGTGAGAGAGAAATAGAGAGAGATAAGGAGGATACTTGTGGGGAAAATGGAACACAAGTTGAACCCATAAGATCCATCTTTGTCATTCAACTTCATCTGTAAAAAGGAATCGAAGCTCATTTGTTACTAGATTCCATTTGATCTCTTTGAAAATGTTGAGGTTTTGAAGGTATGTGTAGGTTTTTGTGAAGTGTTTATGTGCGTGTGTGTTTTAATTTCCAAGAAAAAGTTTGAGTGAAAAGAGGAAGATGATTGGATCAGAGAGAGAGAGAGAGAAAGAGAGAGAGAGAGAGAAATTAGTTTTCAATTTGCTTTTTATTTATTTTAATAAAAAAACTAATAAAATTAATAAAAAAACTAAAAAAGAAAAAAGTAAGGGTAAAAATCATCATTTTAAAAAAGTTCAAAGCAAATTGGACCAAAATCGCAAAAAAAAAAAATGAAAAATTTGGACCTCTGATGCTAGTCCAAACCTTTTTGGACCAAAGTGGCAATTTTCAGCTAACCATAGGAACTATTTGTGCATTTTTGTCAAAAATAAATAAATCATATAGTCTGCTACAACAATATGTTTTGTCCTTGAGATTCACAGGAGCATAGTGGTTGAGGAGTAGAATTCCACCTAAGAGGTCTATGGTTCAAATACTGTCACACACAATATAACTAGTGTTCTGCAATTGACCTCCCACATTGTCACAACTAGCCTTTTTGGCTAGGAAATTCCGTCCGCAAGTAAGCAAGTACTATTGTGAGACTTGTGCTAACACTTCTAAGTGTACAATATGAGTTCCTAATGAGCCATGAAGTGTTAGAATGAAAACTCTCCAAGTATGTGAAATCTCTCCCGATTCTCTCCAAGTATGTGAAATCTCTCCCAAATCTCTCAAAGAATAGTGAATCTCTCCCAAATCTCTCCAAGAATACGAAATCTCTCCAAGAATAGTGAATCTCTCCCAAATCTCTCCAAGAATAGTGAATCTCTCCCAAATCTCTCCAAGAATGCGAAATCTCTCCAAGAATAGTGAATCTCTCCCAAATCTCTCTAAGTATGCGAAATCTCTCCAAGAATAGTGAATCTCTCCCAAATTTCTCCAAGCATGTGAAATCTCTCCCAAATCTCTCCAAGTATGTGAAATCTCTCCCAAATCTCTCCACGTATCTCAAATCTCTCTCAAATCTCCCTAAGTGCCTTCCTTAGTCGAGAACAGCTCAAAACCGGAAGAGGAAACCCCAAAAAGGACCCTTTTGGTCCGGAACCTCTTGGTCCGGAACCCTCTTGGTCCGGACTCCTCTTGGTCTTGAACCTCTTGGTCCGGAACCCTCTTGGCTGGAACCCTCTTGGTCCGGAACCCTCCTGGTCCGGAACCTCTTAGTCCGGAATGTCTTCTAAGGGCCAAGAGGAAGCATCTTCGGAACCTCTGAAGTGACTCCGGAAGTCTAAGGCTTGCTCCGGAAGGGCCTTGCACCGGACAACTTCGCATCTCGGAATGCCACGGTCCGGACTTACCCGCTTCGCCCCTGATCGCCTCCGACTTCGAAACTCCGCCCGATGACTCCGGGAAATATTGTTTGCTTCGGAACTTGTCAAGCGCCTTCGGAACCTACCCAACAGCTTCGTAATTGACCCAATTGACTCCGAATTTTCCTAAGAGGCTCCGGAACTTTGAGAAATGCTCCGGAAATTTCAGAAGGACTTCGGAAATTGCCCTAGAGCTTCGGAATTCACTATTTAGCCCCGGAATTTGGACTATTCAGGACATTTTCTTCATTTTGGGGTATTTTGAGGTTGGGAATCCCACCAAACTCGTGTTTTTCTTAGCTAAGACCCCTAAAACCTTTATTTTATGCCAAATTTAATTATTTAAATTATATTTACATAAAATAAAAAGTTAGGATTTAGGAAAACCTTATCCTAAATCAAGAAGAGGACAAGGAAGTTGACTTTGTGATTTGATGAAATTCCTCTTTTCCCATGCAAATCACGGTATTCCATGCTTTACCCACCAAATATCCATGCATGGACCACCAGATCCCCATGCATCAAAGATTCCTTTCGTTTTCTTATACTCCAAAACTACGACAGTAAGGGAGTTTAGACTCCACTTTCTCTCTCTCTCACTTTTCCCATTTTTCTCTCAAAAACTCATCTTCAAGCAAGAACAGGGGATCTTGCTGAAAGGAAATTTCTCAACTTCTTCTTGAGAAATTTTAAGGTAAATTCCTCCACTCATCTAATATTTTATAATATTTCAAGATGAATCCATATTATTTTGCTCATAATAATATGTGATGATCCTCCTTAGGAAAACATCCCTCCCAGGGAAGTTCTTCATCTCAGCCAAAGTTTAAGCTTGAGATCTTCACTCCATAACTCCAAACAACTCCTCAACCAACTCAAGGTGAGCTTCATACCCCACCTTTTCAATGTTTTAATGTTTTTGGGGGAGAGTACAAGTCAAATCTTGCCTAAACTCTTAAATGATTGCATATATACGTATGTTTGTATGTATGAAATATTATTAAATTAATATTTCAGTCATATACTCATGAACGTAAGATTTCTCAATTTCATAAAGAACAGAGGATACTTTGTGCAAAAGAGCCTCCCAACTATTGAGTGTGTCCAACTTAACCCCTTTATCTATGCTTTCATGTCTAAAGATAAAAGTTATAAAAAGGGACCTTCCTAAGTGGACACCATTTCTAGTGATTTTTCGAAAATAGAAACTTTGTGACTATTTTGCAAACTATCAGGGGGTATTTTATAAATATTCAACATAAAAGTTTGCGTCAAGAAATTACACAAATAGAGCCTTTATGACAGAAATATTTGCATGTCATAAAATCCCCAACAACATAAGTAATGTTCTATATGTCACAAAACAGAAAATGCGTGTCATAACCGGCAGTTATAAATTTATACAAATTATAACTTGACACTTTTTCTCTTGACTAAAATGACTTATTTTTCAATAAACGAAAGGAACGAACACGAGCACCTAGTTAACGAGCACAATCAACGATAAGGAACGAGAACGATATTCTTATTCAACAAGTACGAATTTCATTATTTATCTAACAAATAATGGATTTCTAACAATTGCTCAAAAGGTTGTTAATATTCTAGTCAGACAAATCTCAAAAGTATCTAAATATAAAAATATTAGTGTACGTCTAAGTCCTGTAAGGAGTTATAGCCAGAGTCTCCTGGAGGGAGAGCGGGAATTTGTGTATAGATCTATACGGGGTTGACACCCCGCACCTTCGCTGTTCGCTACAGCTAGACAGACCAGTCTAGGGTGACAAATGTCTTTTCCAAACTGAGGGCGCCTGAGAAACGCCAAAACAGGCACTTCGTCAGATTAGTATGGTTATAACGACTCACTAGAATATGTTATGTCATCAAGAAATTTATGTAAGGAAAAACCTCATAAATAAATCTTTGGCACGTTGTGTTGACCGTCCTATACATGATAAGTGATGGTCCGCATTTGTTGCGTTGACTGTC